CCATTTTTTGGTTGCAGCCATCATTGTTGTTTGGCGGGCCCAGGCTGGGGATTCGAACCCGCCACCTTAGGTGTATGTGGCTGGCACCTTAGCTGCTTGAGCCACAGGTGCCTCCCCAGAGCCAGATTTCTTGATCCACAGTTGGCTGTGAGAGCTGGCACCCTCCCCCTACCCACCCACTCTGGTTGGTGAAACCATCCCTCTAATCACCTGCTCCCATGTAGCCTGCTACAGAAGGTGTAAAGCTGGAGAGGTAGAAGATGTCACCATGCCACAGAGGGAAAGATGACATTTGGCATTTTGATGGGCTTAAAGAAATAAAAAGGGACCGCTTTCAAATAGGCTGTTTTACTTTGGGCATTTGAAATACATTGCTGAGGCCAGGAAGCAATGCTATGGGTAGGGAAGGACAAAGGTGGACTTGGAGGCAGAGAGAGGTGGGGTGTGGCAGGAAGGGATATCCCTGCGGGCCTCAGGGGCCAACAGCGTGGGGAGTGGCAGAACACCGGGTAAGCTAATACAAAGTCTCCCGGGCGTGGGTTCGCAGGTGGCGCAGCAGGTGGGAGTTGCGGCTGAAGCTGCGGCCACACTGCGCACAGGAGTAGGGCCGGGCGCCCGTGTGCACCAGCAGGTGGCGCAGCAGGTTACAGCTGCGGCTGAAGCTCTTGCCACATTCCAGGCACTCCTGGGCGGGCTCTGCCGGCTCCTGGCCAGGCTGCCCGTGGGTCGCCAGGTGCCTTTGCAGGTGGGCATTGCGCCGAAAGCTGCGACCACACGTTGGGCAGCTGTAGGGCCGCTCACCAGTGTGGCTGCGGCGGTGGCGGGCCAGGTTGGAGCTGTTGCGGAAGCGATGACCGCAGGTGTCACAGGCGTGAGGCTTCTCCCCAGTGTGGATGCGCTGGTGGCGCGCCAGATGGGCGCTCTGGCTGAAGCCTTCGCCACACTCGTTGCAGCGGCAGGGCTTTTCCCCGGTGTGGCTGCGCTGGTGACGAGCCAGGTCCTGCGTCTGGCTGAAGCTTTTGCCGCACTGGGTGCAGTGGTGGGGCCGTGGGCCACCATGGGTCAGCAGGTGGCGGGCGAGGCCTGCCCGCCGCATGAAGCACTTCCCACATTGTGGACAGGCGTAGGGCTTCTCACCCGTGTGCACCCGCTGGTGGCTGACTAGCTGAGAGCTCTGGGTGAAGCTGCGGCCACAAGCCTGGCACGAGAAGGGTCGCTCGCCCGTGTGCACACGCCGGTGTGCCACCAGATGCTCGCTGCGCCGGAAGGCCTTGCCACAGTCGTCGCACCCAAAGGGCCGGCTGTCGGGGTCTGGGCAGAGGCTGCTTGAGCTACTGGAGCCCTGGCAGTCCTTGTCCTTGGCATGGATCCTCAGGTGGCGCTTCAGGCTGGAGCGGCGCTGGAAGGTCTGGCCACAGTGGGCGCACAGGACTACGGCTGGCTGCTGTGGCACTTCTATCTTGTTCTCTGGGGTGCAGGCTGGCTTCTGGTCCTGGGTGTGGGCCAGTAGGTGCTGCACGAGGCTGGCACGGCGCTGGAAGCCACGGCCACACTCAGCGCACAGGAAGGCGGGCTCAGAGGAGTGTGTTAGCAGGTGCTTGCTCAGGTGCGAGCTCTGGCGGAAGCGGCGACTGCAGAGGTGGCAGGTGTGTGGCCGCTCATCTGTGTGAGTGCGCATGTGCAGCTTGAGGATGGAGCTGCGGCCGAAACTCTTCCCGCAGCTCAGGCACAGGAAGCAGCGCGTGCCTGGGTGGGAGTGCAGCTGGTGTGCCTTCAGGCGGGCCAGCTGTGGGAAGCTCACTCCGCACTCGGTGCATATGAACTGTGTCTCTGGCTCTGACTCGGGGGTGTCCCCAGCCACTTTAACCTCCAGAACCTCGCTGCTGCCATGAGGGTACCCTTCTCCACCAGTGTTGCTCGCCTCAGAGCCTGGACCATGAGTCTGAGCAAGAGGCTCTTCCAGCACCCGAGGACTATGTGCCTGCGACTCTGCCAAGACAGCAGTGGGCCAGGCAGCAGCCCCTTTGGGCCCTTCTTGTTTCAATTCCTCCTTGTCTGGGATTCTGCTTCCAAGTCCTGGAAAAGAAGTAGAAACAGGGATGGTTAGGCCTATTCCAAGGGGCTTCTAGGAATTGCTGGAACCTAAAAGCCTGGAAGTGGAAAGAAATCCAGAAACCTGCTCAGCTGGGAAGTGGGTAGAGTGGGGGTGGGGGCTGGAACAAGTGAGGATGACCTTTTATTTATTTATTTATTTATTTATTTATTTTTGGAGACAGAGCCTCAAGTTGTCCCCCTGGGTAGAGTGCCGCGGCATCGCATCTCACAGCAACCTCCAACTCCTGGGCTCAAGCTGTCTCCTGCCTCTGCCTCCCAAGTAGCTGGGACCACAGGTGACTGCCACAAGGCCTGGCTATTTTCTGGTTGCAGCCATCATTGTTGTTTGGAGGGCCCGGGCTGGATTGGTACCTGCCACCTTAGGTGTATGTGGCTGGTGCCTTAGCCACTTGAGCCACAGGCACAGAGCCAGGATGACCTTTTATTGACCACCTTTTTTTTTTTTTTTTTTTTTTGCAAAGTGATATAACATAAAATTTACCACAATAACCATTTTAAAGTGTGTGATTTGGGTCCGGTAAGTACATTCACAATGTTTTTTTTTTTTTTTTTTTAATTTTTGGTAGAGACAGAGTTTCACCCCATCGCCCATGGTAGAGTGCCGTAGCATCACACAGATCACAGCAACCTCCAACTCCTGGGCTTAGGCGATTCCCTTGCCTCAGCCTCCCCGAGTGGCTGGGACTACAGGCGCCAGCCACAATGCTGGCTATTTTTTGTTGTTGTTGCAGTTTGGCTGGGGCCGGGTTTGAACCCACCACCCTTGGTATATGGGAACAGCGGCCTGCCCACTGAGCCACAGGCACCACCTCATTCAGAATGTTTTACAACCATTGTCCCTATCTAGTTCTGGAATTTTTTCATTCTCCCAAATGGAAATTCCATACCCATTACCAATAATTACCTTGACTACCTATATTTTGTTTTATTTTAAGACAGGGTATTACTTTGTTGCCCTCAGTAGAGTGCTGTAATGTCGTGGCTCACAGCAACCTCAAACTCTTAGTTTCAAGTGATCCTCTTGACTCAGCCTCCCAATTTGCTGAGATTATAGGCACCTGCCACAATGCCCAGCTATCTGTTAGAAATGGGGTCTCACTCTCTTTCAGACTTGTCTCAAACTGGTTAGCTCAGGCAATTTATCCACCTCGGCCTCCCAAAGTGCTAGCATTACAGGCATGAGCCACTGCTCTTGGCCCACAATGAGCCTTAAAAAGCAATCACCACCACCTTCACAGCTCTGGAGCTTGAAGTGAAGAGGCTTCAGTGGTGATAACTCAGGGAAGGGATGCTTACCTTGAGGGTGCATTGGCCATTCATTTCCTGGGACATCCTCAAAGGTCAAGGACTCCTATAACAAGAGTAGAGACCCTGGGTGAGGACAGGGCTGTAGGGACCCATGGGGAAGGAAGTGATTTCCAGGTTAAATTAAGATGCAGATTTGTTGAAACTATAGTATCAAGACAAGTTTTCTGGGCTTTAGAACATCCTGGGATGAGGGAACCAGCCCAGCTCACCAGGACAGCTGCCAGCTCCTGATCACGGGAATTCTCCTCTGGCCACAGCGAAGGGCCCTGGGGGTCTGCCAACACTGGGGGAAAGAAGCACTGTTAGAGGGAAACCCTGCCCACAATGTGGCTGTGAGGACATGCACCCCGTCATGGAGGATCCATTTCCTGCCCCACTGCACCAATCCAACTCCCACCCATACATCCAGCCCTTTGCTTCCCAGGGCTTGAGCTCCTCACTACTTTCTTGCAGGGCCTGGAATGTCCCCTGGGGACCCGAGCTTGGCAGTTGCTTTGAACTTGGGGGTAGTCTCCACTGTCCCAGCTCAGCAGGCTTGGTGGACCCTGGCTGCGGTGGAGGCAGTTCATTTGATGGACCCAGTGCTGGAGGCTCTTCTGAGGGCACTTCCTTTTTGGGGCCGTGGCTAGGGACCTGAGAAGGTCCTCCCTGTTCCTCCAAGGTGATGTCAGCACGGGGATAATTCTTGCCAGCATTAAAACTAAAATCCTGTTCAAAACACATCCATGTTAGGCAACACAAAGGGCAGCAATTGGTGTCCTCCTGACTCCAAGGGGAAATAAAACAGAGAATGGGAGTCAGATAGGGAAGAAGTTAGGAGGGAACTGTCAGATGGAGGAAAGTGACCTAGGTGGGGGATGAAGCCCCCACACCCCTCTCACCAGTGGCCCCACATGGCTGGACTCCTTGTGGACTCCCTCCAGCAGCAGCACCACTTCCTCCCCATCCCTGAGCGGCTGCCCCTGCAGGCGGCTCAGGAGATGTGGGGGCAGCACACTCAGGAACTGCTCCAGCACCAGCAGCTCCAGGATCTGATTCTTGGTGTGAAGAGCCGGCCGCAGCCAGTGGTTGCAGAGTTCACGGAGCCGGCTCAGGGATGCCCGTGGCCCCATGTCCTCCTGATACTGAAAGCATCGGAAGAGCTGGTGAGCCACTTCAGGTCGTAACCTGGCCTCTGGCCGCCTGAGATACTCTTGGCCAGCTGCCTCCTCCTCTTCCAATTTGACTTCTCCATGTTGCTCCTCCTGCTCCTGGTTAACCACGACTGGTTCTTCAAGCATCCTTCACCTTGAGGAAGGACTCCCTGCAGCTTGCTCACTCTCAGGTCTCTCTCCTCTCCCTCACACCTGTGGAGCTAAAGACCTTGGGTTAGCATTTGCTGCAAGGAAGCCAGGCCCCACCCGATCACTGATATTAAAAGATGCTTAGGAAGTAGACTCAGACATAATGTTTCTACTACTGGTCATGGATAATGGCTCACTGGAGCAGGGCAGACCTTGGTCTCAGGTTTACCAACAAACCCAAAGCAGAGAAATCTGAGAGTTCTGTATTATAGTCCCTATGCCCCCGGGACTAAAGGAGTACCCCTTAGAGAGAAAAAATCTGCTCTGCCCTTCTTCCTGACACAGCTTCAAGGAGCACCCAGCACCTCAAAGATGGATCTTAATCATAATGTTTAATCCACAATCCAGTCTGGTCTTTAGACCCAACTTCCAGCTCATGGGCCTTGCAAGGAATGTGGAACAAGTCAAACTATTTCTTAAGAAACAACTAAGGCTCATGAGCTGGAGTTGGGTTAGTGCCTGTGGCTCAGGTGGCTAAGGCACCAGCCATGTACACCTGAGGTGGCAGGTTCGAATCTAGCCCGGGGCCTGCCAAACAATGACGGTTGCAACCAAAAAGAATGGCCGGGTATTGTGGCGGGCGCCTGTGGTCCCAGCTGATTGGGAGGCTCAGTCAGGAGACTCGCTTGAGCCCAGGAGTTGAGGTTGCTGTGAGCTGCGACACTACGGCACTCTACCCAGTGGGACAGCTTGAGGCTCTGTCTCAAAAAAAAAAAAAAAAAAGAAACAACTAAATAGGGTGGCACCTGTGGCTCAAAAGAGTAGGGCACCGGCCCCATATGCGGGAGGTGGTGGGTTCAAACCCAGCCCTGGCCAAAAACTGCAAAAAAAGAAAAAAGAAATAACAAAATAGCCAGGCATGTGGTGGGTGCCTGTAGTCCCAGCTACTTGGGAGGCTGAAGCAAGAGAATTACCTAAGCCCAAGAGTTGGAGGTTGCTGTGAGCTGTGATGCCACAGCACTCTGCCGAGTGACAAAGTGAGAGACTCTGTTTCTAAAAAAGAAAGAAAGAAACAACTAAACAAATCTCCAAGACAGGAAATTTAGGGAAACCACTGACCTGGGTTCCTCAGAGTCTGTCATAAAAGCAAGTGCCTGTGTGCTATTGTAGAGGCGACTAAAGAGCTGCCTCAAGCATGTAGGTAAACTTTGGATCCTGGTTTATTTATTTTTCTTAAAGGCTCTAAAAGACATTCTGGAGTGGGTCAGAAAATTTTGAGTATGGTTGGGATACTAGATAACAGAGCTGACAGCTGACTTCTGAGATGGCTTCTAGTCTTGTGATTTGTAAGAAATGTCTGTTTAAAAAAAAGGGGGGGGCGGCGCCTATGGCTCAAAGGGGTAGGGCGCTGGCCCCATATGCCAAAGGTGGGGGGTTCAAACCCAGCCCCGGCCAAAATAAAAAGAAATGTCTGTGTTTTTAGAAGGGGCTCAAAGATCTGGAAGTGAAGGGGTCTGAGGGATCAGTCACATTTAAGGACTGACCAGGAGAAATGTATATGGATATTCATTGCATTGTGCTTTCAAATTCTCTGAATGTTTGAGAAATTTCAAAATAAAAAAAAGTTGGTGAGGGGAAAGTTCATGCCCATGCATGCCATCTTCTTGACCAGGCACCCTGACTGGCTTACTTCATGGCTCTGGAAGTGGCTCTCAGAGACCAAGGCCAAGTGCTAATAAGTTGATCAGAGTGGGGTGAACTCCCACCTGGTGCTCCCATCGCCCACCTTCCACAGTTCCAATCTGGAGGCTAAGAATGGGATGAGTCTAGGGAACCAAGATGGGGCAGCCCAACCCTAGCATGGAGCACAAACCGACACTCAGGAGCCCAAGGCAAGGCCAATTGTAAAATGGGTGTTCATGGAAAGAGAATAGAAGTTTCTGGAGGGCGGAAGGGGGTGGATCTGGGCTAGGTGGTTGGGTTCCCAGAAGGGAGACTATGACAGCAGCTTGCAGCATTTTGTGACAGGGAATCCGTAAGGCAGGCAGATGGCCTCAGTCAGTCCAACAGCCAGTGGACACATCCTTAGGAGCCTGCAGTTGGGGGCGGGGAAGTAGTCACTTTCCTTTCCTTCCTCATTTTCATTTTCTTTTTCTTTTTGAGACAGAGTCTCACTTTGTTGCCCTCAGTAGAGTGCTGTGGAGTCATAGCTCATAACAACCTCAAATTCTTGGGCTCAAGTGATTCTCTTGCCTTAGCCTCCTGAGTAGCTAGGACTACAGGTGCCCACCACAATGCCTGGCTATTTTTAGAAACGGGGTCTCACTCTAGCTCAGGTTGGTCTCGAACCTCTGAGCTCAGGCAATCCACTCGCCTTGGTCTCCCAAGTGCTAGGATTATAGGTGTGAGCCACCTGGCCTGGCCTCCTTCCTCATTTTCTTTCTTTCTTTTTCTTTTTTTTTTTTTTGAGACAGAGTCTTACTTTGCATTTTGTTGCCCTCGCTAGAGTTCTGTAGCATTATAGCTCACAGCAATTTCAAACTCTTGGGCTCAAGTGATCCTACTGCCTCAGTCTCCCAAGTAGCTAGGACTACAGGTGCCAGCACAACATCCTGATAATTTTTCTATTTTTAGTAGAGATGGGGTCTCAATCTTGCTCAGATTGGTCTCGAACTCCTGAGCTCAAGGAACCCACTTGCCTCAGCCTCCCAAAGTGCTAGGATTACAGGTGTGAACTGCCACACCTGGCCCCTAAAATAATTAAAAGAAAAAAAGTCTGTATTCTTCCTTCCTTTATTCCAACATCCCTTTGGGGAGTACCCAGCCCAACCATGACTCTGGGTAGCAGTAAAAAGCTATTATTTGCATATGTCCACGGGGGTGGGGGTGGGGGACACACACTGGTTCCTTAGGACTAGCAACTTCCTCCCTACTGCTCCCAAGTCCACCGCAGTAGGGTTACTCTTTCCTTGTGTGCGTAGCCTAGTGATACTAGAGGCCTCCCAAAATTCAGCCTAACTGGCTTGGGACTCAAATAGACTGGCTCACTTAATCAAGCTCAATTATGCTTTGCTGAACAGGCTTATTTCCGGCAAGGGTCATTTTATAGACATGGGGACCCTGGTTCCACCGCCCCACCCCTATTTACCATGTTCAAGGCTGTAAATGGGCCTCCCCAAACCCACCCTCCCTCCTGCCCAATGGGCCTCCCAGGCAGCAGAAGGGAAGGGAGTCTGAGCACCACTCCCCACTAACCTAAATGGCACAGAGTAGACCCTAACAGATGGTAGCAGACACACAGGAGGCGTGCACTAGTGCTATTATTGTTTCCATTGTTACTGATTACAACACCAGTGACCACAGCTAATGGTGACTGACAGTAGTGTTGGTCCTATCACTGACCCATTTTACAGATAAGGACATCAAGTCTCAGAGGTAGACACTTGCCTAAGAAGGTAACCCTGCCTGAGGCAACTTCTTCCTGGTGAAGGGGTCAAGGAGAAGTCAGCCTGGTGGAGAATTTTGGACGGTTCTTTGAGCCCCCTTAATATGAGGCCAAGGGTCTCTGAACCTCTTTCTCAGGTGGAGTGAGTGGAGGGTGGTGGTGCTAGGTAAAGAACACTGGATTTTAAGCCTGGCTCAGAGTAGGAGAGGGATGTGATGCTAAAACATGACCAGCTCATGCCTCTAATCCCTGCACTCTGGGAGGCGAGGAAGGCAGATTGCTTGAGCTCAGGAGTTCAAGACCAGCCTCAGCAAGAGCAAAACCCCGTCTCTAAAAAATAGCTGGGTGCTGTGGTGGGCACAGATAGTCCCAGCTACTTGGGAGGCTGAGGCGAGAGAACCACTTGAGCCCAAGAGTTGAGGTTGCTGTGAGCTATGATACCATGGTACTCAACCCCAGGGTGACTGAGTGACACTTTGTCTCCAAAAAAAAAAAA